AAAAATATGTTGCAGAAATACAAGTACCATAATTGATATTTCTAATGTTGAACTCTGCAATAAACAAGCTAGACGTGACAGTGTCCCTTTAAAGCGGTATAAATATGGCAAACATCATTAGACATTTAAAACGACGCACGGACACCATTTATTTAAAGCATTAAATAAGGGACATATAAAGGACATTATACTATAGCTTGGGTGGCACTCATTTGCGATAAACAGTTCTTACGTGTTGCCCAAAGACAGTGTGATCCAGGAAAGGCTTTGAACTATTTTAGCTCCATGTTCCTGATAATTAAAGTGTGATGACCTCCTCATTAGTGACAGGAGAATGATTAGGATTGTCCTGTATATATCTTAATGGATGCAAGCTACACATATGATTTGGGAATATCAAAGCAATTTTCTATGTTATTTATTAGAGTAAAAATTACGAAAACACACACAAACCTTTAGTTTGAATTACGAGTGTTAATGTATGCAGAAACCAACGACTGCCTCATCTTGCTTCCTTTCTTGTATCTTAAATTTTTCATTACAAATTTCCAAAGCTTCAAAGTAACATCTCACAGTCAGTGCCCTTTTTTCTTTTCTTGCATGACAAAGAGCTGTCAGAAAGTGTTCGTGTGTTTGTTAGTGTTTTTCCCTTTATTCTCTCATCTAAATGTCAAACAACTTAGCTTAAATAAAGCATAGCATTCTTCATCTGGTGCGTCTCAAAAGGAAAACAACACTACAGAAGGCATCGGAAAAGGCCCTAATTAATGTTTCTCATTGATTTTGTTTTAGTGTGATGTATTTTATGAAAAAAATATGAAACCAGAAGGCAATCTCATTAAAATCATTAGCAACTCAATGTTATCTAAAAACAGCTCATTCTTTGGTTTATTATAATCTTAAAAACAAATTCTATTCAAACACATGTTTCCCTTACATATATCATATACTCAGTATTAAATAATTCTATTATACGCTCCTCTTACTGATATTATATACGGATACACTCAGTATTAAACATTTTATTATACGCTCCTCTTACTGATATTGTATACTGATTGACTCAGTATTAAATAATTATATTATACACTCCTCTTACTGATATTGTATACGGATACACTCAGTATTAAATAATTTTAATATACGCTCCTCTTACTGATACGGTATATGGAAACACTCAGTATTAAATAATTCTATTATACGCTCCTCTTACTGATACTGTATATGGATACACTCAGTATTAAATAATTATATTATACATTCCTCCTACTGATATTGTATACAGATTCACCCAGTATTAAATAATCATATAATACGCTCCTCTTACTGATACGATATATGGATACACTCAGTATTAAATAATTCTATTATACGCTTCTCCTACTGATATTGTATACAGATTCACCCAGTATTAAATAATTCTATAATACGCTCCTCTTACCGATATTGTATACTGACTCCTACTCACTCCGCATTAAATAATGTTTATATTACATGCTCCCCTCACAGATACCATACACGGACTTCCACTCACTCAGTGTTTAAAAATTATTATATTATATGCTCCCCTTACTAATATGGTGTACGAACTGACTTAGTATTTAATATTTAGTATATTATATGCTCCACTTACTGATATCATATGCCAACTGACTCAGTATTTAATAATTACACACTCCCCTTACTGATATTGTATACCGATTGACTCAGTATTTAATAATTTATATTACACTCTCTTTATTATTGTAAACCCACTGACTCAGAATTTGATAATTATTTTATTGCACACTCCTGAGATCATACACAAATTGACTCTGTATTTAAAAATGATTATACTACACACTATTCATTACTGATAATGTATACCAACAGACTCAGTATTTAAGAATTATCATATTATACCCTCCCCTTAGTGATATGGTATAGTGACTGACCTAGTATTTAATAATCTTATATTATACGCTCCCCTTACTGCTATCGTAATCTAACTGACTGTATTTAATAATTAATATATTATACACTCTCCGTACTGATATGGCAGACCGACTCATGCTGTTTTTATTATACATTACCCTTATCGACTGACTCACACTGTATTAAATATATTATACATTTGCCTTGCTGATATAATTACTGCAGTCAGAGAGTTCAATATGATTAGTATATTGAAGGTATCTTATTGCTGTCACCATTCACAGTCCTGCCTCGTTCAATATAATTAGTCTTTCATGTGCAATACTTGCTATATCACATATTTAGTCTTGCTGTGTTGAATATCATTAGTAGATTATGTGCAACTATTAGTTATATCACAGACTGTGTCACAAAGTATTCAGGATAAAGAGTTGACATATGCACCCTTTACAAATATAAAAATCATACATTGAACCATTTGTCTAATATACGCCCTCATGCACCTTGTATAACCGGTCATAGTGAAAATTATTCTTATTAGACTTTTTACATTAGGTTTC